TCAACTAAAAACTTTTGAACCAGTTGACAGCACATGCACACGTGCAGCCTACAAACACAACTTGTATTGTATGGGATGTCAGAAATGTGTTTTAAGCACATAACTGAAAATGACTAAAGCTTAACATGTCACCAAAATGGACCTTATGAATAATATTTAACAATGGGCAAAAAAAAAATGCACTTCAGCTGTATGATCTTACGCAGGAGGTGCACATTTCTCATAGTTTATCCTGTCACATATTTCCACATCTATATTCACCCCAGTCCACTAAAGCTCCAGAGAGTCTAATGGCAAACAAAACAAATACATTCCCCTGGGTCTTTTTTTTTTTTAGAAAGGTGGGTTAAAAATAGTTTAAATAAAAAAAACTAGCAAAGGAATCAGGAAGAGTGCACCTGTGAGTTTGAGCGAAACATGGACAAATGTTGCCCTCTAGTGTCCAAGCATTTCCATTACTTTCCCTCAGAGTAAATTCTGATTTCCCTTTTTTCTTTCCACTTTTATTTATGATCTCATGTCAAAATTATTACACACACATTTTCCCCCACTCTTTCATCTCTCTTTTTTCCTTTCCACAAAAATTTACTTAAGGACTTTAAAAAATGCCTTTGTGGTTGTTTAGTTGTTAAGTAGCGTTGGACTCTTTGTGACCCCATGGACCAGAGCACACCACAGCCTCTCAGAGTTTGGTGAAATTCATGTTGGTAGCTTCGGTGACACTGTCCAACCATCTCGTCCTCTGGCGTCCCCTTCTCCTCTTGCCTTCACACTTTCCCAACATCAGGGTCTTTCCCAGGGAGTCTTCTCACGAGGTGGCCAAAGTATTGGAGCCTCAGCTTCAGAATCTGTCCTTTCAGTGAGCACTCAGGGTTGATTTCATTCAAAATGGATAAGTTTGTTCTCTTTGCAGTCCAGGGAACTCTCAAGAGCCTCCTCCAGCACCACATTTCAAAAGCATCAATTCTTCGGCAGTCAGCCTTCTTCATGGTCCAGCGCTCACTTCCATACACCGCTACTGGAAAAATCATAGCTTTGACTATGCGGACCTTTGTCGGGAAGGTGATGTCTCTGCTTTTTAAGATGCTGTCTAGGTTTGTCATTGCTTTCCTCCCAAGAAGCAGGTGTCTTTTAATTTCGTGGCTGCTGTCACCATCTGCAGTGATCATGCAGCCCAAGAAAGTAAAATCTGTCACTGCCTCCGTATCTTCCCCTTCTATTTGCCAGGAGGTGATGGGACCAGTGGCCATGATCTTAGTTGGATGTTGAGCTTCAAACCTTTTTTTGCACTCTCCTCTTCACCCTCTTTAAGTCTTCCTCACTTTCTGTCATCAGAGTGGTATCATCTGCATATCGGAGGTTGTTGATATTTCTTTCGGCAATCTTAATTCTGGTTTGGGATTGCTCCAGTCCAGCCTTTCGCATGATGTATTCTGCATACAAGTTAAATAAGCAGGGAAACAATATACAGCCTTGCCATACTCCTTTCCCAATTTTGAACCAATCAGTTGTTCCATATCCAGTTCTAACTGTTGCTTCCTGTCCCACATATAGATTTCTCAGGAGACAGATAAGGTGGTCAGGCTCTCCCATTTCTTTAAGAACTTGCCATAGTTTGTTGTGGTCCACACAGTCAAAGGCTTTTGCATAGTCAATGAAGCAGAAGTAGATGTTTTTCTGGAACTCTCTGGCTTTCTCCATAATCTAGCCCTTGTTAGCAATTTGGTCTCAAGTTCCTCTGCCCCTTCAAAATCCAGCTTGTACTTCTGGGAATTCTCAGTCCACATACTGCTGAAACCAGCCTTGTAGGATTTTGAGCATAACCTGTCTAGCGTGTGAAATGAGCACAATTGTACCGTAGTTGGAGCATTCTTTGGCACTGCCCTTCTTCGGGATTGGAATGTAGACTGATCTTTTCCAATCCTCTGGCCACTGCTGAGTTTTCCAAACTTGCTGGCATATTGAGTGTAGCACCTTAACAGCGTCATCTTTTAAGATTTTAAATACTTCAACTGGAATGCCCTCACCTCCACTGGCGTTGTTGTTAGTCGTGCTTTCTAAGGCCCACTTGACTTCACTCTCCAGGATGTCTGGCTCATGGTCAGCATCCACACTATCTGCGTTGTCTCGTCTTGAACTGGACTTCCCTGGAAACTATTCCTCCCAGCTGCACTCTACCTCCCCAGAGGTACCAAATGGAAGGTCCCACTCTTCAACAGCTCCCCCCCCCAAGTTCCTCCTTACCCAAGGTCTCTGCAGCAGTCCTGCCACTCCCAAAGCCCTTGACTCCTCCCATTCTTCTTTATTCCCTCGGGCATTCCCTCCTCCATTTCTTCAGGTGCCTCCCATCAGCCAGCTCTTCAGCAGACACCTGCCCCCCCTCCATTCCTTCTGGGTGCTCAGCAGCTGACAGCTTCCCCAGGCTCCCAAGGGGCTTTGGGGTGAGGGCAAAGTCTGCCTGTGGTGTAAGTGGCAACCCCCTCACAGATACACACACTCCAGGAAGCAGGGGATTGCCTCCTCTTCCCCTTCAGTCTACAGTGTCCCTGTTGAGAAAAATAGTCCATGTTAGAATGAGCTTTTCCTCCATGATATTGCACTTGGAACTTGTAGAGTTGTAAGGTCAAGTACCAACCAATGTGTCACCCACTGGTATTTTTCATCTGTGTTAGCCAATGTAGAAAAGCATGGTCTGTCAATAACATAAAGGAAATAGCTAAAGGGTAGTAGCATAGAGCATATGTGGCCCAACTGACAGCCAATTGATGCCAGCATTCTTTTGTTCTCAGAGGGCTAGCTTGCAACTCAGGTGCCGGATGGGGTGTTCTTTCCCATCCCAAATTTTTGCTAAAATAGCCCCTGGTCCAGAGGTGGGATTCAGCAGGTTCTCACGTAGAAGCAAGAGTTAAGACACATATGGGGCCCACATAACTGGGGCATGATAAAGGGCTTATTGGTAGTAAAAGCTCTTTCATCAGGAAGGCCTCAGCAGACTACTCTAGGGGCCCCTTTTCCCGGTACATTCCACAAGAGAGGCAGGAACATCCACAAGATGGAGAATGAATTGTTAGTAATAACCCGCTAACCCCAGGAGCTGCTGCACCTGTTTCATGATTTGGGGCCCAGGCCACACCAATACCTTATCCATCTGGGCACACTTCTTCACTCCCTGCTGAAAACCCCAGGCTCTGTACTTGAGGCTGGGCCACTTTATAATTTGCTGTGCTGGTCATCAGGCCAAGAACACTTCTAAGGTGTCACTGTGAGTCCAGATATGGCTGAATACAATGAGGTTGGGTATTTTTGTCTGTCAGGACTTCAACTGGAAATCCCATATGGAAAAAGAGAGACACCAACTCCCATATCAGCATCCAAGCCAACATGGACTGTACAGGGTCTCAGGGTAGTGGGTAGCATATATGACTACCAAAATATGTGTATGCCTGGCTGCTGACTTTTCTAAAAGGGCTACAATGTCTAACCCTATCACCTCAAACAGCTGGCCCAGAAAGAGCATAGAAACTGAAGTCCTCCTGGCAGAGTCCTTGCCTGTACCTGCCGGCACTTCGGGAGCCGAGTTTCTCTGGGCTCCCAAGAGGCTGCAGGGAGAAGGCAGCTGACCTGTTTGGGGTGCCAGTGATGACCCCCTTATAGTGATATGCCTCCACTTGGGCTACTGCAATGCATTCTGCATGAAGTTGCCTTTGGAAAGCATTCAGAAACTTCAGCAGGCCCAGGATGTTGCAACCAAACTGTTGATAGGAGCCAGATACTGTATAGTGAGAACAATTCCTTGTTACAACAGCTCCACTACTTACCAGTCCATTTCTGAGTCCGATTCAGAATGTTGCTTATGATCTATAAAGCCCAACAAGCCTTTCTACTTTGATGAACTTCCATAGATTTTAATGTATTCAGGAGATGCCTTTGTCTCAGTCCTACCACCCACTCAAGCATGTATGGTGAGCGCATGAAAGGTTCCTTTTAGTAGGTGCTCCCAGACTACAGTATACCTGTGTCAGGGGAGGTTGATTTGCCCACCCCCTTTTTGTCAGTCTTCCACTAGCAAGCAAAGATCTTTAACTTCAGGCATGCTGTTACTGTGTCTCCCTGAAAATAAAAGAGGGTCTTATATTAATTTTTGCTCTCCAAAACACGTTAGGGCTTATTTTCAGATGTTTTATTTATTTTTTTCAAGTACAGCAATATACATTTATTCAAATATAGTCATGCAATCTTCTTCTGATTGCTACATAATAATGGCGGGCGGGGTTTCACTTAACTGGGGCTTATTTTTGGGGTAGGGCTTATAATACTGTACAAGCATCCTGAAAAATCATACTAGGGTTTATCTTCAGTTTAGGTCTTATTTTCGGGGAAACAGGGTAGTAACACACATGGCTCATTGGCAAACAGCTTTTAATTATTTTTGTTTTTGCCTCATACAGTCGCATCATTACAAATCCTGCATTCCTAACCGCTGTTTGACGGTACCTAAAACAGATATACTGTAGTAATTTTGCTGAAAAACGTAGAAAAGACCTATGATCACACCCCTGAAAAAGCTGAAATATACAATCAAATTAATGAATGAGCAAAAGATTGTAATTTTAATACTCTATCTTATGCCTGTTTGATAGGAAGATTCAGTTTCCAGGAAAATTGGGAAATTTTTTTTAACAAGGGTTTATATGATATCGGAAGCTTATTCCTAAAAGCCAAACGTTCCAGAAAGATCTCTGCAAAATGACAAAGAAACTTAGCAATTTCATTTGCAAGTATCACGGACACACAAATACAGGTGGCAGGGTTTGAATTACTGGCAACCATTCGATAAACTACGTCCTTTAAAAAATCACTGAAAAAAATACAAAAAAAGGGGGAGAAAACAACAACCACCTCCCTTCCTCCCCTTTCTGTTCGGAGAAACAACACAAAGCCAGAGGGGACGGAAGGGCGAGTCACGGGGTATTCGGGCGCACGTTCGAGCCGAGAGGCGGGGCTTCCGTGACGTCGTCACTTCCTCTGCAGAGAAGGCTCGCGAAGAGACGGTTTACTGATAGCAACCGCGGTCGGCGTCCAAGGCTCTGAGGCGGGAGGATGAGCGACAGCGGAGAGCAGAACTACGGCGAGCGGGTAATAACTCAGAGCCGGCGAGCGTAGTTTAAGCAGGCCGCCTGGTGTGTGTGTGTGTGTGGGAGCCGAAATTAAGGCTATAAAAAAATAACCCCCCCCTTTTTTTTCTGGGGCGGGCATGGAAGAGCTTCCCTTTTGCACTAAAAAGAAATGGAAGTACAAACGGAGCGGGGAGGGAAAGGTCCTGACGCGGGAAGTTTCTCTTGCTCCGAGAAGCGGCCTAGCATATCTCTTCCTATTAGCGAGGCTTCGTGTTGGTTTGGCGCGAGAAAATGGCCCACCGTTTCCTGCAAAGAAAGCGCGCTCTGACGTGGAGCTCTATGGTGAGCTCTTGTCCCGGCGCCATCTTGGGTTGGGGACCCGAACGAACGAACGCGCCGCCGCAGGGACAGGATGGCCGCGCAGAGCTAGCGGTCCTCATGCTGGAATGTGGTACGCTGCAATCGCGCTTTCCCCTCGTGATTGGCTCGAGTGTTTTTTCGTAGTTCTCTCAACAAATTCTGCGCCCGAGCAGTCATCGGTTGCACCGCCCGTAGAGTTACCTGTTACTACATCGTTTGGTTTGTTCATACGGAAACATGTTTTAAGTCCCAACCTTGGATAACCCAGATGTTCTTGGACTGCAGTTCCCAGAAACCTTCACTTGTGCTGGTCGAGGTTTCCGGGAGTTGCAGCCCAAAACACCTGGGTTACCCAAGATTGGAAACTACTAGTTTAAGTAATTCTGTGTCACGTATTTGGATGATTGGATCGCCGTGTCTAACGTATAGTTAGTTACAACAGTTTGCTTAAGAAGTTACTTGGATCGCCGAGCACCATTTAGTATACTGTACATTATATGAACAAGAACTGTAATCTGTGCTGCAAGTAAACCAAACTATTTCAGTTTAGACTTCATACTAAAAACGACTCCTTGCTTATTAGTGTTGGAAGGGCAATAGTGTACATGATACAGCTGATAACAAAGTCATTTTTAACACAAAGGCCCCCAAAATTTAAGCAACAAATATGCAAATAAATAAATAAGGGTTAAAGTATTTCAAGGCTGCAGCTGAGGTAGTTTGAGAGCCAAAGCTACAGAGTCTTGTAGTGTCTTAAGATTAATGAGTTCTGTTTGGCAGAGGCATGAAGATGCAACTGTTTTTTAAAAACCCTAAACAAATAGTAGTAGTTCTACCTTTGATTCGAATTTTTTGTAGTTTTTGCTTATGTTAATATCACTAGACAAGCGCTAGAAGTTTGTTGTACTATTTCCAAATTGCAGATGGAGACTTGCTAGAAAAGAGACTTAAGGCTAGCTTATTCTCACTTCAAAATTTTATTATTTAAAAGATCTTTTATGCTATTTTATTATATTGCTGTAGTTATTTTGAATTTTTTACTGTATTCATTTAACAGTATTGTTATTTAAAACTTATAGTTGACAAAGTGCCTTGGGTTGGATGTCTCAAAAAGCAGTGTAAATAATTTTAAATAAATAAAAATGCAAACAGATGGCACATGTTCAATGCTTGGCATGGTCAAAAGAATGGAAGGCAGCAGGGTCCTTTCCTGTTATACTATATTGATAATAGCAAAGCATTATGGTTATGAGGAGTTACTTGCTGTCTGAGCAAGCAATTGGTATTATTACAGTGGAAGCCAGCTAAACCAGTTCAGTCTGGGTTTTTTAAAATTTAGCTTGCCCTGTGGTAACTGGAGCTGTATCAGAAAGGTTGCACTTTCTTGCTACATTGACTTATCCAGAAGTGAGAGCTATTCATATCCTTATTCATAAATTTCTCCAGTATCTTTTTAAAAATAATTTGAATTGCTGGTGGTCTTACATTTTTGTTATGCAAAAGACTTCCATAGTTTATATGCTTTTAGCTTTTTAATTTCTTCCAATGCTAGTATTATGAAAGGATACTTACACTGGTTTCCTAATATGCTTCAATTTAATATTGCATACATCTTTTTACTGCTGCCTAGTGGTCCTTGGTAGTAGTCTGTTCATATTGAGGCCCATCTAAAGGGGTGAATGTTAGTTATCAATGTAAAACTTTAAGAATGTGCGTTTGGGAGTTGTCATTTGATTAATAATGCCTAGTACCTAACATTTAGCCTTGTATAATTTAACATAAAATAATAAACTGTTTCCTACAAGTTAATATGTTAGGGTTTTTTTATGTAATATTGAGCCAGGTGGACTTTTTGAAAAACAGGTCTTGGTCTATCTTGGTATTTTTAGTAGTGGAATAAAGTTCAGTGCGAACGATTTCTGGATTCTCTTACCTCCTTTTTACCTCCTTTTTATTTCTTGGCGTGTCGTGTGCTTTTTTGTTTTTTTTGTGTGTGCTTTTTTGGTTTTTTGTGTGTTTTTTTGGGTAGGGTAATTAATTGTGTACAGTAAAGAAAATGAAAAATTTGTATTCCCTGAGGATTTTTTTTCTCTTGTTGCCAGGGTATGGTGGGTTTAAGCCCACAGGTCTTTTTATTATTATTATTTTTATTTGTGATTTATACCTTTCTCATGCTGAAGCTTACATTTTAATGTATTCTCAGAAAAAAGAAAGGGAAAAGAACACCATACTCACCCAGTCCTGAAAAGGACAAAAAGCTGATCCCAGAGCTACAAATACAGTGGTACCTCAAAAGATGATAACCCTTCGAAACGACGAATCCACATGACGACGAGGTTTTGCGACCTCCATTTTGCTTCACAAAACAGTGATTCCTATGGGGGAATTTCGCTGGATGACAATTTGGTCCGTGCTTCGCGGACCATTTTTTCGCAAGACGATTTTTACAGCTGATCGTTGGCTTCGCAAAATGGCTTGCCTAGGGGCGATCTTCGCAAAACGGGTGTTTTTGGGCCCGTTTTTCGCAAGATGGCGATTTAAAACAGCTGATCGGCGCTTCCCTGAGGGCAATTTCCGCTGGATGACGACGATTTTTCCCCATTGGAACACATTAAACAGGTTTCAATGCATTCCAGTGGGGAAACGCTTTTCACAAGACAGCGATTTCAGTGGCACAAAAAATAACATCTTCTTGAGGGGCACCGCTGTACTCAGCTATCCCACACACTACACTAGAATTAACATCTTCTTGAGGGGCACCGCTGTAGTCAGCTATCCCACACACTACACCAGAACACAGACAGAGTTCTAACTCCTGTCCTCTGAAGATGCCAGCCACAGAGACTGGCGAAACTTTAGGGGGAAAAAACCTTTTAAGGGTTATACACACACAAAGTAAGAAAGCAAGAATGGAAGCAAATCTTCAAAGAAATAAGTGAAATAACTGGATTAAATATTCAAATGTCCTTATCAAAGGCGTTATTGAACTTGGCTAATAAGGATCAATTGTTGAAAGAAAATAAGGACTTAATAGTAATGATTATGGCAGCAAGGTTAATTTTTGCAAGAAACTGGAGAAATGATAACCAACTCAATTTAGAGGAATGGTACAGAGAACTATAGGATATGGCAGTTAATGATAAACTGACAAAAATAATGATTTAAAGAAAATATGGAATATATTCTTGGAATATGTATTTCGGCAAGGGAAGAAACAATGAACTTTTGGAGAGAAAATGGATTGAATGAAATTTAGTACTAGCCCTGAGGGTAATGGTGGCACCAATGTGATATGTAATTGTATTTTTTTGTGTTAGTAGGTTTATGTTGTGTAATTTAATAAAAAAAATTTAAAAGGAAGAAAAACCTCCAGAACACAGCCAAACAGCCTGAAAAACCTACAGCAATTTTCATTTTAAGTTTTAGACATGTGGGCTTAAAAATAAACACAAGCAAGTTTCTGTTTTTATTTTTTTAAATTATATTGACTATGGGAAGCATTGGAAGTTTATGATGGTATTCAAAATATGTGGATATGTGCAGAGAAGGAGGGACATCATGTCATAACAGTTTCAAAGAAAATAAGAAAGAATTTAGACAACTATTCTCTTGCAGATACTGATGGAGCTGCAGTTAGTGTCACACAGCAGCAACTTCAGAAGTTTTTAATATTTGCATCTTAATTAGAATGGCAATGAAGGTTCTTTGTGCTTTCTCCACAATTAAAATGGGGGTGAGGGCTGCAGGAATATTTAGGGGCAAAATTGTGGGGAAGTCCATTTGAAAACCTAGTTACTGATTAGCTTGAAGACTGCATCCTGGAAAGAGTACCTGTCTTTAAAATGTAGTATCCAGAATGCCGAGTTGAATATTTAAATCAGATCTAAAGGTGACCTGGGCGTGATCATCCATAATGATGTGTTAATGTGAGGGAAAGGGTGCAGGAGTTGTGATGGAGACCTTGTTTTCCATAGAGAACATATATGTACCATAGTACAGTGGTACCTTGACTTACGAACTTAATCAGTATTGGAACGGCGTTCATATGTAGAAAAGTTTGTAAATCGAAGCAAGATTTCCCATAGGAATGCATTGAAAACCATTTAATCCGTTCAGGCTGTTTTTCATTCGTAAGTAAAGGCATTAGTTCCCATAGGAACTAATGCAAAGCCGGTTAATCCGTACTCTACCACTAGGGGGATAATTTTTTTAAATTTTTTCTTTTGACCTAAGAAGGGCAAAAAAAAGGGCAGGAAAGTTTTTTTTCCCATTTTTTCCGTTCGTAACTCGAGGTTCTGTTCTCAAGTCAAAGCATTTTGCGAACGGAGATGTTCGTAACTCGAAATGTTTGCAAGTGGAGACGAGCGTAAGTCAATATATTATCCCAAGGGACATTTTCAGCTCTGTGATTTCTAACAGTTTGGAAGAGCAACTGTTTCTGACAATCTCTTAATGGTGAGTTTTCTGAAGAGGCTCCCCGCACCATGTCTGTGATCTTGGGAAGGATTTTCTTTCTAAAGCCCTAAGTAAAGTTAGAAGCGGTTTACTGTTTCTGTTGTAATGTAGAAATGGGGCATATTGGCAGAGGGATCCTATGAATTGTACCTGCCTCCCCCCCAAAAAAGACTTCTGCTTAAATGTATGTGAATAGGCCAGGTGGTGTAGCAGAAGTGATCCAGAATAAGACTCTGTCGATAACATTTTATTTTAGCGTACAGATTCTTATTTCAGCATAGTGTGCATGTCAAAACCTGTGACGGGATGCATGAATTGGTGGTCTATACCTAGTGAGGTATCTGGACTGGTGTGTGCGCACAAGGTTTTATTAAGTGAAATGAGTGAGAGATGGACTTCACAAAATGTTATATAGCTTACATTTGTTGTCATCTAAATTGAAAGATCTGTGAGTTTGGCATGAAATAGAAGCTAAAATTGTTTCCAAGTATACTTTTGCTTGTAGATTGTCACCTCTTAAACTGAAGCACAGACCTAACTACTGCCATATAAAATGTGGTTTATGAATTTGCTGAATTTGAAACTTAAAAAGAAGAAAGTATCTTTTAAAGTGTGCCTATTGCTTTGTTTCATGGTTGTTTTATTAGTTTGTGTGATAAATCAAAAAAATAATTGTTCTTATTCGGAAGTTTTAGGATGCTAAATTGCTGACAAAATACTGTTTTATGCATGAACTGAGTGGCAACTTAAAAGTGATGGGTTGACATGGAACTTGGTGCTGTCATGAATATGGCTTGGGTGCCACTCCACCATAATGCTCTATAATCTATCAACATTACTCCAGATAGGAAAACTGAAAAATAGAGCTATTGCTGTTTTTTTTTTTCTAATAAAAATGTCAACTGTGATGTCATCTGAAATCATGAGAGCAAAGAAAGGAGAAAGAGGTTAGCAAGCCTTTTGACTGCATCAGCACATGAAAAAAAGCTAGACAATGGAAACTCTTGTCAGTGAAATGTTGTGTATAGCATGGTCTCTTACATGAGCTCCTTAATGTTTTTCTGACAACATTCTAGGACACTTTGTTAAAAATGAGTGCTGCTTTTCATGTGCACAGCACCAATTATTTTAAGTGGGATTTACATAAGAAAATTACTTGATGAATTGTGCAATGGTGCCTCGCTAGACAATTGGCACCCGCAAGACGATTGGTTTTTGTGATCACTATGGTGCCTCACAAGACTTTTTTTCTATTACCATGCTTCGCAGGGAGGTTGTGTTTGTTTTTTGTTTGTTTGTTTGTTTTTAGACCAATGCTTCGCAATTATTATTTTTTTTTTTTGAGACCGATCATAGGGAACCTCACAAGATGATTTTCGCGGAACGAATTAAAATCGTATTGCGAGGCACCACTGTACTCTCATATGTGTATTTTTTCAAACAAAGTTCATTAGCTAGATTGGCCTAAATATTATTGTGGAGCTTTATATCAAAATTCTGCATTGCATGCTTTCCTTACATAAATAATATAATTGTTTGGAATTCTGGGAATGTGCTCATTCTAAAATAATGACCATATCACATTACCTGGACATCACCAAAGGGAGTTGCTCTGTAACTTTGCTTTCAGGATGTCACCAAATATTTAGGCTCATAATCTCTGAATAAGAACAATAACTTTTAAAAACTATCATTCTGTAGGCAGCTGCTACCAGGTACTTCTGTTTTTCACATGAAAAGAGTAGGACAATAAATATTTTGAAAAATGGATGTTTTTGGACATTCTGTCTGCTTTTTAAAGATTTTAAAAATTGGGACTACTGTCATTATCTTAAAGTTTAGCTTAATTAATATGAAATGCTTTATAAACTAAATTGGTGACCTCGATCAAATACATAAATTAAATGTGGCCTTTTTGTGGACATAAATACAGTATCAAGTTCCACTATTTAGATAAATATTTGCCAAGGAAACCTGATCCATTTTTACTTGCTATACTTCTTTCATCCTATCAATCGGGGCATTTCTCTTCTGTTCCTACTTGGTTTCTTTATATTTAACATGTATGGAAATGTTCTATATACATTGGCTAAAATTTAGTACTAAGTTACAATTAGAGTAAGTCCATTGAATTATCTGAACTTTTGGAAGAGTTGACGCACCAAATCCTCCCTGCTTCAGGGTCCACTCCAGTTGCAACTTACTACTGGATTTCAGCCATTCCTTCTATACAGAAAGAGAGGATGACAGCAAATGTATATGGTACAACAAAGAGATCTAGTTATGCATAATAATTATGAACAGTTTCTAGCCTTGTTCTATTTATTTCGCAGATCTTTAACTGCCTGGGGAGATAAGTATGTATGTATATTATGTATGTGTATTACACAAAATTTGCTGGCTGTTGTTGAAAGGGTTGGGCGTGTAAGGAAGTGGCAAGCAGAACTGCAAAAGCAACTTGTTTATCTGTTGATCTGCCTATGTGTATATTGGTTCATAATATTTTCAGTTTTCAACATTAAATTCTGCCTTAGCTGTGTGTCACCAGAATAATTCCCTGAAGGACAAAACAGTGGTTTCTCTCCCTACCCAATGCTAATGCACTTGACTTCAAAGAAAATCCATTGGATGGTTGTGTGGTTAACACACAATAACTGAGAATTTGCTTACATTTACTCAGGGTAATTGTGTTTGATGCACCAGTTAGTTTCCCTGATATTCAATTCTAGTGGTATTTGTATATTTAGTGTGTTACATTCCAAGAGATGTAGCAGCACTGTGTGCTTGTATCATCAGTGGTGCATGTATTTCATGTTTTTGTGTTGCTATTGCATGTAGAAAAGAACAAAAGTTAAGTTATTGTTGGTTGTTGTGGGTTTTTCAGGTTCTTTGGTTGTGTTCTGAAGGTTGTTCTTCCTAACGTTTCGCCAGTCTCTGTGGCTGGCATCTTCAGAGGACAGGAGTAGCACGCTTGAGCTCAGCGTGCTACTCCTGTCTTCTGAAGATGCCGGCCACAGAGACTGGCGAAACATTAGGAAGAACAACCTTCAGAACACGACCAAAGAACCCGAAAAACCCACAACAACCATTAGATCCCGGCTGTGAAAGCCTTCACGAATACAAAAGTTAAGTTAGCTCATCTTCAGTCCTAACATGGATGCTCTCAAGCGTCATGTTTTTAAAATGGAATTTATGATCATGGCAAAATTCAGTGAAAGACTAGGATTGTACAATATTTAGCCCCACTGAAAAGATGCTTAAGTACTACAAAGTTGTCAATGTGCCACAATACTTCCATTTTGGTAGACGTTAGGAGCATGCTTTTATTACTTGCAAAGGAGAAAATGAGGATCTTAAACAATTTTCAAACCTGTATGTTTTCAGTTTTTTTAAACAAAATCTTAGAGGTTTGCAGACTTGTAAAAGTGAGACATTACTAGCTTACAAGTGGCAATGTCATGATATGGAACTTCTCGAAACTTCCCTGTTAAGTAGGCATAACTAGTAAATCTTTAGCTTTCCAATTATCTTCAGATGGTCTGAGATTTTTTTTAAAAAAGTCATAAACCCAGAGTTGCATCAATACTAGAATTGCATATCTATTTAAAAACAGTGCAAAAAAGTAGAATTTTTTCTAGTTTCAGTTTTGGCACTAGATATCTATCCTGGAGTTTTAAATATTCTTCATCCTGTTCTTTTTTTATTAAGGTTAATGTTGAAGAAGGAAAATGCGGAAGTCGCCATTTGACAAGTTTTATAAATGAGAATTATTTGAAGCTCAGGAATAAGTGAAGCTGAAATTTGAAAAAAAAAAGAAAGTGAATGCATGCTAATTATCAGACCAGAAGTCCCACTTATAGAATATTGAGCAATTTGTGTGAAGTGGGGAAGATGAAAGAAGTCAGAATTTGAAACGGAAGAATGAAGAAAAGAAATAAAAATGAAGTTAAGATAAGAAGTAATCTGGAATCTGAAAGCACTACGCTAAGTAATTACTAGTCTGTTTATGTGTCCCTGTATATTTTGCTAAACATGCATGCATTATTTGTTTAATAGAAAAACATGCAGGGTTTTAAAAAGTGCTTAACAGGAAAAAAAAATATTATAAATTCTAGGCAGTTCTAACAGCAACTGCCCGGACACATAATGGAGACATAGATCATTTTTATTTTTCACCAGAGCTTGTTTATGGTAATTGAAAAGTTATATTCAGACTAAGTGATATGTTTTCTGCATGCAGGAGTCCCGTTCTGCTTCCAGAAGTGGAAGTGCTCATGGTTCCGGCAAGTCCCCAAGGCACTCGCCTGCAAGATCCAGGTCCAAGGAAGGCTCAAGGCGATCTAGGTCAAAGTCTAGATCAAGATCTGAATCTCGGTAAGTTTTTCTAAACCCATTTTTAAAAAATGAAATTGTAATGGTAGTATCCAATTCTTACTATTAAGGTAAAAAGTGGGGTTTGAGAGGAGAAACTGGTACACTAGCGTCTCTTGTGCAGTGCAAGAATTAGAACCAAAATTTATCAGATTGTATCCTCTCTAGAGTACAGTAGACATGTCCAAGTAATTTTGAAGCTTTCTGCTGAAAGGGATCATTTTTAGTGTTAATATAATCTTGTTTCACAATACGATTGTCATGTGACATTAGCTGAATTACCTACTCGGTAATAAGTCTCTTCATTTTGTTGCCTTGATAACTGATTGTCATCATCCTGTGTTGACTCTTCCTCTTACAAAACCAGTAGTCACATTGCACTTTATTATAGTTGAATAACAGGTATTGTTTCAGGAGTGATAATATGTGTTCTCAAAACATTTCAAGTCATACACACTTGTTTGCGTAAACTTTCACCCTAACTTTGAATCATTCTATCAAGCTTGCTTAACTTCTGAGTATATCAAAAGGAATTTCTTCCATAAAATTCAAGTTTATCCATTGTGGCTTTTTGTGCTCAAAGAGGTCTTGGCTCAGTCAGTTAATGATTAAAATGAAGATAGGTTATGTCTGAAGTATACAAGACTCGGCATATGTAGCAGCATCTCTTAAGCTTAGATTACTGTAGACACTTCTTATGACTCTGCAGCAAGACTGGGCTGTGCAAGGATGTCCATAGCACCCTTCATCCACAGGTATGGTTGGTTGGCTAGCTTTTGTGCTGTCAAGTCGGAACCAACCTACAACAACCCTAATAGGTCTTTCAAGGTAAGTGAAATATTTAAGGAATAGTTTTACCAGTTCCAGTTCCCCAGTGAGTTTCCATGGCCAAGTGGGGATTCAAACTCTGGTCTTCATGATCCTAGTCTCTCACACACTATCCACTGATTAGTGTTTACCATAGACATGGAATAAAGAGATAATATATCAGCAATAAAATAATGGAAAACATCAATTCAGAATTGATGCTAAAAGGAAATCAAGGACCAGCTTAAAAATACATTGAGGAATGTATAGCTGGTCATATTTTACTTGACAATTCATTCAATTAATTTGGGTTTATTGCAGGATTAGTACATTCAAGTCTTGGTTTAATTACAAACCAGTTGTATCCTGCTTGCATGCTGAAGTTTTGAATACCCCAATAAAGTCTTGGTGATAACATTGATTAGAGTTGTAGTTAGAGATGGGGGTTGCCCGGGGAGCCTGGTAAAGTGGGTGGCTGTGGGGAGCGAGGAGAGGAATCAAGAACACCTGGGCAGCGCTGCTTTGTATGAAGCACAAAGCCCCCCTCTCTAGTTGTAGTTCTCTGTCTGTGGAATTCTCTCCTGTTCAAGGTCTATCTAGCCATTTACAAAATGAATTATCAGGTGCTCAGTGATGGCCATCTTGTTTTGACACACATTCTGTACTGATTGTATTGCAGTGTGGTGGCTATTAGTTTCTGCTTCTAGGTGTGGCTAATGAGTTCCTCTTGTTCTGTTGCTCTCGTCTCTTACAGTGAGTGTGCATATGCATACACACTCTATAATTTTCGACACATGCACCATTTTGAAGGCCCTTTGAGTGGAAAATTGATGTCCCTGGTCCAGTTCATTGATACCTTGTAACTTAAATGTCTGATATCTGCTTTATCATAATATTCCAATTTCTCAGATCCAGGTCAAGGAGGAGTTCCCGTAGACATTATACAAGATCACGTTCACGTTCTCGATCCCACAGAAGGTCAAGAAGCAGATCTTACAGCCGCGACTATCGGCGCCGACACAGTCATAGCCATTCTCCTATGTCTACTCGTCGGCGTCATGTTGGCAACAGAGTAAGGCTGGGATGGCAGCAGTTGACCAGAGATAACTCATCTGTGTGTGTCTTTGGAGGTTCTAAAGTTTTTAAATTACTCAGAAATTGTGTAAAAGTTATTGTTTGCTTCAAAATAAGTTTAAATGATTGTTGTTATTATGTTCTTCCACAAATAGTACAAAAACTGTAAACATGAATTTTACTTTGCAAAAAAGGCATTTATTTACATTTTGCATAGTTGTGTTAGTTTGTCATGAAGTTTATTATTGTATTACTTCAGAATCATATAAGCTAAGCTTTAATCCAAAGTATATGACTTTGTTTTATAATTCTGTTTAAATATATTTAAATATATTGTATATTAATATATTATGTCTCTTATGATTTTTTTTTAAAAAACAGTGAATAGAAAGTAAACTATAATAGTTATACTGACTGCTGAGAAACTTTAAAATGTTTGAGTGTGTAGCATTCTGCTCAGCAGAGCTTACATTCAAGTTAGACAAAGTGTTTTATGTAAAAACCATTGCAATAGTAGTTTTAATGCTCCATTTTCTGCAACAGAATGGAGTTGTCTGAACTTGACATCCATACATTGCAACTATTTTGTTCTTTGGTGCAGGAAGGTTTGAGTATTACTGAACAAAAGATGTGCCTCATGGTACTTAAATCTTTTTTTTTATCAGAGAACAGTATATGAGATGGTGTGGGAATATTTACAGTTATCAACCAAAAAATATTCCTATGGCACCAAGCAAGAACACGTACTTGATAGCTGCCATGTTGTATAATGTATTACAAATGTTAAATGTTCCAAGTGAGACAAGTCATAAGTCTTCTAACTTTCCGGCATTTGGTAATATGCTCCAAGTTCCCCCTGTGTCTTGATGAGGCACAGAACACATGAATATGGTCCAGAGTACAAAACCCCTGGAGATTTGTAGTGCATTCTCTCTTCTCTTTTGTATTTATCTTTTCTCTTGGAGAAAGACAGAAGGTTGCACTGAGGTCTGAACCAAGAGAGTGGCTCTTAACAATTTTTGCATTAAGTAGGGAACTGCATTTTTATATTGTATCCCAAAGTATTTTGAAGTCATTTTATAAGGCATTTGAAATCTTATGAGAATGTATGTTGTTTGTTTGTTTTTTAAAACAGGCAAATCCTGACCCAAACTGTTGTCTTGGTGTCTTTGGTTTGAGCTTATATACAACGGAAAGAGATCTGAGAGAGGTATTCTCCAAATATGGCCCAATTGCTGATGTCTCTATTGTATATGACCAGCAGTCCCGACGTTCTAGAGGATTTGCCTTTGTTTACTTTGAAAGTGTGGATGATGCTAAGGAGGTAAGGATATGTTCTTACACTAAAAAGCAAATAGGTTTGTTTATTTTATTTTGTAAATTGTGCTTTTCTGGAGCAACTTTCATGATTGCTGTAGCTAATAAAAGGAAATGGATGTGCCGTGAAATAAGGCTTCTGTATTGTCTGTTAACATAATCCAGAACTTCTAGCTATTATGCATCCATGCCTGTTTGCACTATTTCCTAGTGTAATTTACATATTGCACTTCCAACATTTAAAGCCCTTTGTCTTTCTACAGTGCTCAGGGCAACATACATGCTCCTTACACCTCCTCCCCACCTCTGGGTCTGTAAATCATGTTAGACTGAAAGAGTGAGTAGCACAAGCTCATATCTTGAGGATTATGGTTGAGGGATTTAATTTAAGTCTCTTTGATATGAATCAGGTACTCAACCCACTATACTGCCTTGAAAATACATAATGAAATTTATTTATGAGACATTAATATTCAGACTTCCTTCTAAAAGATCATGGTGTCCAACATTCTGTCTTCACAGCATCCCTTGTGAGGTAGATTAGGTAAATAGGTAACTCCTCAGTCTTTATTCAATGGTGAACTGATGGAGGAAGTGGAATGAGTCAACCCAAAGAACATGAAGGCTGAGAACATATTCAGACATATCTGGCAATGGCAGCTCCCTGCTATCTAATCCTTCCTCTCTTGGAGCATTATTGTATTGTTTCTGAAACAAATGACAAGTTAATTGTTGCTTCAAACTGCTTAGAGATAGTGGGGGGCTGTCATTAGGGAGTTAATAGATTCCTTTTTCACTTTTTGTTTACATGTGAGAATATTAAACCTGATTGCTTTCATGGAAACAAGGGGACAGGCCAATCTAATACATTAGGTGTGTTGGATCATACAATAAGGGTACTACTAACTGGCTATCAGGTGTATCTCCAAGATGAAAAGTAAATGTTCATCTTATTCCTGAATGTTTATAATTTATTCTAATGTATGTTTACTTTATGTTTATAAATATATTTATAAAGATCAGTCTTTATAAATTAATCATATATTAATCATATATTTTATGCATTAAAGCATATTTCAATTAATCATATATTTTATGCATTAAAGCAGTTTAATCACCCTGATACAGTGGTGCCTCGCTTAACGATTTTAATTGGTACCAAAAAATCCATCGCTATGGGAAAACATCGCTAAGCGAAACATGGTTTCCCATAGAAATGCATTGAAAACCAGATAATCCGTTCCAGTGGGAAAGGATTGCTGTCCTTAAGCGAAAATCACCATAGGAAACATCGCTAAGCGAAACGCGGTTCCCCAGTTGAAATGCATTGAAACTTACTCAATGCATCTCAATGGAGGGAAAAAAATTACAACAAATTGAAAAAGAGTCGGAACAAAGTCAAATTAGTTTAACAAATGGTTTATTAAGTGCACTTATGATTTCAAGCATTCTAAACATTTTTAAACATATAAAAACAGCCAACATGAGGCTGTCAAAACCATCAATAAGCGAAACAGGGGGACCCAAACTGTCATTGCTATGCGAAGCATGGTCCCAAACATCGCTATGCGAAAATCGCCCATAGGGAACATCGGTAAACGGAGCGCAAGATCGCTCTGAAAAAGCCATCGCTAAGCGAATTCATCATTAAACGGAGCGCTCGTTATGAGAGGCACCACTGTATTTCTTTATTAAAATTGAGAATACAGTATTCTAAACTTGACTTGTTCATTTTGGAAGCATTCATTTCCAGCTCTTCAAGAGCCCTGCATGTTTGTTTGTTTTTTTTTTAATATTTGTATACTTACTGGTTTTCGCTTTTCATTAATGATGGAAGCCAGCTTGGGTCCTTTTTAAGGAGAAAGATGGGATAAAAATATTTTAAAGGAAGGAAGGATAGCTATACTGAGTTATTAACTGGCAACAATTCACCACTAAAAATCAGGCCACTAGCAATATTCCCGTGGTGCAACTAATAGGATTCTAGCCCTTATATGTGTTGATAAATAGTTTTATTGTAAGTGTGGGCGTAACTAGTTTTTCATTGGCTTGTGGGCAGGGAGGGTTAAGCATTTACCTTTACTAGTATTGTTTGTAAGATTATTCCTAATTTGAATGGCATTTTATAATTTTTTTTAAACCTCATATAGGCTAAAGAACGTGCCAATGGAATGGAGCTTGATGGGAGAAGAATCAGAGTTGATTTTTCAATAACAAAAAGGCCTCACACACCTACTCCGGGAATATACATGGGGAGGCCTACTTAGTAAGTTCTGTCTCACTGGAACAAACCAGCTCTGAAATGCAATTGTTGGTTTTCATGTCCAGTACTTAATGTTTCATATTCAGCAGCATTTGTAGTTTTTGTGTTTAGAAGGTTTAGGTTTTGGTCCTGCACATCTTTCTGTGTTCTCGTTTTAAAAATTGGAGTCTCCATTTGTAGCCAGATGTATGTCTTTTTACATGATGAGACATTAGATTCAGACCACCGTGTTGTATGGTTGTAATAAATACAATTTTTGAAGATAATGCTGTGTAATGCTTTCAAGCTGATGTGCAAAGTGGGAATAAAAGCAGTTCTCTTAGGATTTCAGTTAAAAATGTAAATAAAATGAAAAAAGAATCAATTTGCATCTGTTTTCTAATTGTCATACCATATTCCTTACAGTGGCAGCTCTCGACGGAGAGATTATTATGACAGAGGTTATGACAGAGGCTATGATGATCGTGACTACTACAGCAGATCATATAGGTGAGCCTGCTTTTTGTTGATCGTTGTCCAAGGAGGTTGTACAAATCTTTTAAATTGCGATATATCACTTCAGTGTAACTGCATTGTAACGATGGCAGTTGCTATTTTGCTTTGGGTCATCGTGGGTATCATATTTGCCTTTCGTGTGTCTCTTTAGCTTTATAAGCATCAAAAATTGGGATTCAAGGGCACCTTAACAACTAGAAATGTTTTGGTTAGATTAATGCCAGATTATCAAATCATTTTCTGACATCTGTCATGGAATCAATTTAAACTAACATAATTGCCATGGAAAATGGATTACCCATTTACAAGGATTTTTGTAAAAGTTAACTCCTTGGTACTATGGCTGAATTTTTCCTGTTGTAAATAACTAATTTTTCTGCAGTTTACCAATGTACACAAGTAGGGATTTAAGAAACCTAAACCAGGAGATTTTGTTGTATCTTTTACACATGCAGCAGTTCGTTTGGAAGCTGAGATAAGAATTTAAAAATCTTGATCCAATTCAGGCGTCTTATAAATCAAAATGTTTGTGCTATACTTGCATTATATACCACATCTTGTTTCCCTACACTGGCATCTTCTCTTAAAATCACATTATCAAAAGTGGGATCTAAGATAGAATACTGGAGGAAATTTTAAACCAGGCGCCGGATGGATGGATGGAAGGAAGGAAGTGCATACATTGATTTAAACACTTGAAAACATACTTTTTTCCTACTGTCATTGAAAGAATGGGGGACAATACAAATCTTCTGGGCTGCGTGTTGCCCACTCCAGTATGTATGAAAAATGCATAACTGGTTTATGCATTTCAGGTGTATCACTAAAGTAGGATGCTGCCTGTGAAAGCTTTTGCTAAGACAGTTGTGAGATTTCATTGCAGCTGATTTTTCCTGTGGAATGCTGTAGTTCCTTCACTGAAAATCTGTCCATCTGTGATTTTTACAGTCCATTTTACAGTTCATTAAAAGACAAAGGAAGTGATTTTGCTCTTGTCTGTTTTGTCATGTTATTGTATTAGCCCATAAAATCAAGAAAATAGTTTGATTTTAAAAATAATGTACAGTGGTACCTCGCAAGACGAATGTCTCGAACAATGAAAAACTCGCAAGATGAAAGCATCTTGCGAGGTTTTTTGTGCCCAGCAAGACGAAGATACTTTCATTTTTGTGAGGGAAGTTTTCCCAAAGGAATCTATTGAAATTAAATTAATGTGTTCCTATGGGAATTTTTTTAAAAAAGTCACCAGGTAGGAAGCTGGGGAAGCACCATTGGAGGGCTGGCGGGGGTCCCTTGCAACTGTGATCGCCGCTTTCAGAGGTCCCCCGGCAGTCTTCCCCAGCACCATTTTTGAACTTTCCGCCCTTTTCCCCTGCCTTTTTCCATTTGGAGGCTTGCAGAGCACCATCGGAAGCAAGCCTCCGAAATGAGAAAGGCAGGGGACAAGGGCAGGAAGTTCAAAAATGGTGCTTGCCCAGCTTCATCGGAGGACTGCCAGGGGACCTCTGAAAAGGCGAGCACGGTTGCGGGGCACCCCTGCCAGTCCTCCAGTGGTGCAGGGGAAGCCTTCGGAGGCAAAATAATTTGCTGCCCAGAGTAGTTGAATGACTAGATGGGCGGGATATAAATATAATAATAAATTTAAGTACTGGCTGATACTGATAAGCTTTCTTAAGCAGTATGAACGAGATGATAGTATATTGTATTTCTTTGAGAGGTGGGTTCAGTTGTAGCAGCAGTGATATGGAGCCTGTGTAAATGGTAGATGGGATTGAGTCTTTCGGGTTACATCTCCTTCCTGTCTCATGTATGTCCTTTAATTTGAACATGGATGAATTTTGAAACATACCCTGTGACATGATCACCCTTGGAGACATTTCTTTTGTTAGGAAAGGAACATCGTTTACTGCATGCGAAGGGGCCCAAATTCATTCTTTCTAGCCAAGGTTCCCTCTAAGGTAAAGGGGCCCAAATTCTTTCTAGCCAAGGTTCCCTCTAAGGTGCACAGCTCTGCCCCCTCTGCACAGGGCTCGTCCTCCATGCACCCACAGCAATTTTTTCAGCTCCTTTGGTCGCAGTTGTGACACAACGCCATGTGGTGGGGGTGGCAAATTAGAGGAAATGTTGGCCTAGCTAAAGGGATTAGGTAAAAAAACCTGCTTTAGATTTTAGAGTGACACTGTCAGTGGGGACTTCACAGATGTGGAAGAAATTTCAAGCAGATGGCACCAACATATGTTTGTTTGGTCAACTTTATCATGTGTAGCTATTTTAACAAAAGTCCTTCCTTTTCTATAATATAACTACTGTAGACATCAGTGTTCTGATGTCTACATCTAAAACATGAGCACTAAAGCAGCTTTACAAGTCACTTCTGCTTGCCGATGAGCACTAACTTAAGCAGCTTTACAAGTCACTTCTGCTTGCCTTTTACCAGTTTTCCATGGTTTGCATAAGAGACTTTTGTCATATTCCAGATCAGTGCTGAGAGAGTCTTAACTTTCGGGCACACGGTGGGCTGCAGTAGGGGGGAGAGGTGGTTAAGAGAGCTGCTCAAAAAATCAGGCAGTCTTGTGTGTGTACAAATGGAAATTTATATGAATGTCATGTCAGTGAACAGTTTACTTTAGCAATTATATATTTTGTGCCAATGAGGTAGAATAAAAGTACTAGTTCTGTCCTCCTCCTATTCCCATTGCCCTCTGTGCATAGAGTAGAAGATAGGCCTTTTTCAGAGGTTCTCTATATAATTCAAAAAGCTGATCTTTCTGCATTTTGAAACCACATGGACACATAAATAGATACTCCTATCATCCTGAGAAAATCACCTACATTAGGAGATAAACTGATTTGGCAGTGGAGTGGGTAAAGCTGATTAAATCCAACTCCTTGTAAGTTTATTCTGGTCACATTGTTATTACTCTAGATTCTTTGGTCACTCTCTTTATCCTGCATATAATCACATGCTTCTGACTACACTATTCCATTTGTGCAAATGCTGTGACCTACTTGATCTGTGATGCTGTGTTCTATATTTTACCATATTCTGTGTGTGATCTTCAGTTGTGTTGGGTCACTTGAAGGAGGACAACATGCAGAAACAAAATGGTGTTCAAGCAGCAGAAATGAGTCATTGCCCAAAATGTCTCCCACATCTCAAATTTTAAGTGACAGAAATTCTACAGAGTTTTAATAAATAGCATAGCATAGCATTTCATATACTGTGAAAACATATTTGCTGTGTTGAAATATTGAATATGAATATATGTTCATGTTCTTAGCTTGAAATTGCCTCTCCTGAGGCCTGCTAGTGCTTTCAGATGTCATTTTAAAACCAGAATTGTATTACAATTAAAGAGGTGTAGTAAATAGTGCTATACATTTCATAGCATACATTTCTGTGCCCAATCCATTATTTTGGCAACATTGAAATTGTGGCTTGTATGAAGATGGGTATCTGTCCTGTTATTATGCAATTTCTGTTGAAGATTATTGTTTCCTCTGTGGGGCTGATATATCTTTTGTACTGGTCACTCCTTTATATGAATAATCTGTTCTGAGAATATTCAGTAAATAAAAATGCAAAAAAAGTTGTTTTGCTTGTGTCTTCACAGAGGTGGTGGTGGAGGAGGAGGAGGGTGGCGAGCTGCCCAGGACAGGGATCAGATGTACAGGTATGCTAGGAGAGGACCAAGTGTCTTTTGAAAATATGCAAATAACAGTGGAATGATCTGCTTGGCTTGGTGGTCAAAGAACTTGCTAGACCTGTTTTGCCTCCAGAGTCAAAAATCCTCTAATACTTCAATGCTTCATACGCATTGTACTTTCTAGAAGCACACCTGCCTTCAGTAATCACTTGACATAGTCCTGGAGTTTATACTGAGAAATTCACTGTTGGTGCCAAGGAATTATCAGCAGTGACAAGCTATAGTTAATCTGAAAACTTTTCATGGGAAAGTGTGCTGCAGAACATTTGAGTTTAGGGAGCAGAGCCTAAATTTAGAATAAAGATAAAGTCTGCTCTTAACCCAAGTGTTACATTCCAAAATGTTTTCCAGTTGTAATACAAATTTGTGGTGACTTATCTTTGTTAGGTTTACTGATATTCCCTGGTTGAAATTTAACTTCAGAAACTGCAGTCGCTGTAAACTTCAATCAGAAAATTCACACACGCCACCAAAAACCTAGTCTTTACACTTTTAATAAAATAAGGCTCTAAAGAACTGTATTAGTATATTCATGCTCGTATAGTGCAAGTGAACATCGTCCTTGCAGCCCTTGAAGATTTCAGAAAACAGCTCTAGAAGCTTTTCCAGCACTTTGGAATGAGATTTTAGGGTACATGGACTGCAATGGATAAAGAAGGTCATTTCTTCTGTAGGTGTCTGCTGTTTTACCAGTGAATTTCAAACACTGGATATTTCCCCAGTTTCATTTGATATATTAATTAAGGATAATACACACCCACTGCAGTTGTAATGGGTTTAATACAGTGGTGCCCCGCACAGCGAGGTTTGCAGTTGTAATGGGTTTAATATTTGCATTAAAAGCAAGTCAATTTCTTACTGGTATATGTCCTAGCATCCATCCTGCAAAATTCTCTAAGGGACTTTGAAGATTGCATTGAAAGATACAGGCTTTTAATACATTACAATAAAAATGCAGGGGTTTTGGTGGCATGTATCTGTTTGTAAAACAAGTATGTGAAGAAGTAACTGTGGCTTGGTGTACCTCATTTTTGCTCTTGTTCTGTGTGTGCACGCATGCATATGTGCATGCACACTGTATGAAAACATTAGTTACCATCTTAGTTGCATTAATTCTTTGTGCAGGAGGAGATCCCCGTCTCCATATTACAGTCGAGGAGGCTACAGGTCTCGCTCCAGGTCTCGATCCTATTCACCTCGTAAGTGACATGTTCAATTATGTTTTTATTTGGGGGGGGGGTTACAGGGCAATCTGAGAGCTACCTAAAATTAAACTGATTAAATGAATTAAATGCCACTGATAGTCTGATGGAATCCTTAGTATGTCCCAAGAGATACACATAATAATTGCACAGAAATTTTTAGCAGACTTGAATCATTTCATACCCTATGTACTTCTCAGCTTCTCAGCAGTCACAGGATCAGTTATCAAAATGTGGTTTTCTTTTTGTTTTTAAAAGTTACATTTACTTTATTGTCACGGGTCCTGTTTATTCCCATTATGAATAGAGAACGAAACAACTACATACGTAAGCTAATTGGGATATGTTCTCTCCCCACCACCTCTCATATATGTCAGATGAAACAAGTTACCCTTTTCTCTGTACAGTGGTGCCCCGCATAGCGACATATATGTTAGATGAAACAAGTTACCCTTTTCTCTGTATTTTAAATTAAATTATATGTGTAGGCACAGGTTTTCTGAATGCCCGTTTGAAAGCATGAGGTGTTTTTTGTTTGTTTGTTTGTTTTTTGTTTGTTTGTTTGTTTGTTTTTTAACCTCTGGGGTTTTTCTATTAAAATATGCACTTTCAATCCTAGCCATATTGGCCTAATTAGATGAAACAAGTTACCCTTTTCTCTGTATTTTAAATTAAATTATATGTGTAGGCACAGGTTTTCTGAATGCCCGTTTGAAAGCATGAGGTGTTTTTTGTTTGTTTGTTTGTTTTTTGTTTGTTTGTTTGTTTGTTTTTTAACCTCTGGGGTTTTTCTATTAAAATATGCACTTTCAATCCTAGCCATATTGGCCTAATCCTGACTCTGCTGTTGACATTCATAGTGGTAACTTGTAACAGTTGTTTATGATGCATAAAGTTATTTTGATAAAAACATACTTTTGGACTATGGGTCCATTGAGCTGTTTCTATTATGAGCCCAGTAATTCATCTGTATGTGTCCTCTATTTTTCTTTTTCTTCCCCCCCCCTTCTTTAGGATTATCGCTCAGTGAGAAACTTAACTGTTTTGAGCCATTTTAATACAATAGTTCTTGTGTGATGTTAATACCAATAAAATAATTTCATGTTAAATTAGTCATTTTGAGGTCAGTTGGATACGTTGTTTCTGGGTAGAACTTTAAACAAGAATTCTTGTATTTCATAGCTAATACTCTCCAAAACAAAAAGTGGTACTCAAAGATTGTGTTACCTGTCTGCATATCTGTACATATATACACAGATATTTACATGCTTACATATATAGATTTCTATATAATTGCAATTAAATATATCTGCTTATGAGATGCTTCAGTTAGGAAAAAGAGTAGTCATCTGCCTTCCATCCCCTGACCCTAAATACATCATTGCAGATCAGGGAATCCTCCAAAAATTGTTGCAGACTGGGGAATTCCATGCAAGAGTGGATGTTGAGCATAGGGTAGATAAGCAGAAATTTCATCATTCACTTCTTTCAGCAGGAGGGAGCCTCTGCTGAAACAAAGACAGTGTAGGTTGCAGGAGTCTTTCCATTCACACAAGAGCTGTTCTGAATCCAGTGCAGTGCTTAATGCAATAAGAAATACCTCTTAACTGATACTTTGCATTTTGTATTTCTCTAATTTGTGTATTGCGTGTTCTACCACAGCCATGTGTGCATAGCCTTTGAATACCACCTATTTGGCAGGTACAGAATTACATAGATTCAGGATTCTAATGAACCTCTTAATCTCTCTATTTTGCAGGTCGATACTGAAGTATGAAACTGAAAACTTTGTAGCTACAGACAATTACATTAAGATTGCAGATTTGTGGACAATATTTTGTTACTTTTGTTTAAGTCTAAAAATGCCTAGTGAATTAGGTGACTTTTACACCTTTTATGAAAAGTACTTTTGGTGAAGCTTTAAAATGCTGTTTCATTCTGCATATTTGTGTAGTTGGTGTTTTGTTCAGAAATGTGTTTTGAGAAGAGTGTGTCTTCTGCATGTGTTTTAGTCTGAACCTTACAGAAGGATTTCTATGTCCCAAATTGTTCACTCTTCATTTAGATTTTTTTCCAGGTTCCAAGGTATTTTGAAGATCAAAACCTGTGTAATATGCTTTGAAATGGTGGCATAATAAAAGTTTTTTTTTACTTAAATAGAAGCCTGCATCTCCTTTTTCACCAAAGTGATACTGCTTCTCTCTTTAATTCAAAGAGAGAACAAAACTATACCTAATTTCAGAGCAGTATCATTCTGAATCTCTTCCAAAATCATCCAATAAAACATCCACATTTCTCTAAGTAGATCGAGCTGTACTGTATTATCAAGTAAACACCTGCTTGAATCCTTTGATAGGAACTGTACATTGAAGTTAAAAAGATGGTGTTTTGGAAATACAGTAGCACATCCACATCTGAGTTGCATGAATGATTCATGTCAGTCACTTTTACTCAAATTAATAGGTATTTATTTAGAATATTCTTAGTTTCAGGTGAGAATTCTATCTTTTACTACAGACAACTATATATTAGCTTTAGAATACAAAATAAGAATGCTCTTGGAAAACCAACTGATCTCAATTTCTCATCTATTTTATTCTCTGGAATTAATTGTTATTATCCAAGGAGCTATTTTAGGCAGGCAGAGTTGGAAAATTCCTCAGTTACTGAGTGAGGACGAATGTAGTCTTGTGAGTATTTAAAAGAGCAGCACAATTTTTGATATTCTGAATGTCCAGCTAGATGATAGCTCTGAGAGAGACAGAGAGTGGTATAGGTTATGTTAACTTTCAATATGAACAGTTAATAGTTTGTTGCAGGGAAGCACAAAAGGGTTAAATAAGTCATACCATTAACCTATGTTATGCACTGTACCCTGTCTTGTCTTTATACACTAGAGAAGTGGTGATGAATCTTGGGCTCGTGTGCCCAAACGGAAGGGGGGGGGAGTGGGCAGTGTACCGTGGCAGAACCGGAAGTGGCAGCGGCAGAACCGGAAGGGGGGGCAGTGGGAGGGGGAATCCTGGGCATGGAGCCTCGTGGCGCAGTGGTTAAAATGCTGTATTGCAGCTAAAACTGTGCTCACGACCTGGGGTTCAAATCCCAGGTAGCCGGCTCAAGGTTGACTCAGCCTTCCATCCTTCCGAGGTCGGTAAAATGAGTACCCAGCTTGCTGGGGGGGCAATGTGTAGCCTGTATAATTAAAATTGTAAACCGCCCGGAGAGTGCTTGTAGCGCTATGGGGCGGTATATAAGTCAAATAAATAAATAAATAAATAAATATGGAGGTGCCTTGAGACCCCACTTCAGATCCGCCACTAGCACCACAGTTGTAGCCACCTTCTCAGGTTTAGCTGTGCGGGGGGGAGTAGCAATCGGGTGACTTATGACTCGCGTGCCTGCAGAAAGGGCTCCACATGCCAGCTGTGGATGTGTGATAGGTTCACCATCACTGCACTAGAGCAGTGGGATTATGTAATAAATCTGAAAAGGGGAGGTACTGATAACTGAAGGTGGCTGGAATAGGTGTGGTTCAGGGTCTTGGAATGGAATGGGCATGTGCAGCCCCCGGAGCTCTAGAGATTACCCACCTTTCCCATACAACATTTAAAAAGTGGAATTTATGTAATTACAAGTATGGAAAAAAAATCTGGGGGGCTACATTACAACATCCAACTGGGGGCCAGGCTCCATGCCAGAATTTGTTGGCAAGAAGGGGGAGGGAATTATTATTTTTTTTCAAACAAGGCATTTGTATTGATACAAATACAGAAGAAACCACCTTTTCTTCTTCGTGATCTCTGAATGCACACTAATGGGTTTAATCTGCGCCTGGGCAGAGGTCTCCAGAATAGTCTAGAGCTTTATGATACATTGATCAAGGACCGTCTCCTAGTACATGTGGACTGCTTTTTGCCACCGCTGAGGTCTCTGAGCTCTGTTTATCATTGCTTTAATCTGAGGAAAATTGGAAAAGACTTTTTGTGTGCTTCTTTCCAGCTTCTATACAATCAAAGGAAAATTTTCCCTATCGCCCCCACCTCCCGATTTTTCCCCTCCCCACCATTTATGGCCCCTATTCCGTCATTTAAAAGGTGCACCTCGTGCTCCAACAAAGTTCCCCTCACAGACTGTCATGATCTCTTGTCTTTTTTGCCTGGGGGAGTCTCACCAACCTATTTTGTCATTTCTGCAAAAACTTCACTAAACAAGCACTTAAACTCAGACAACAGCGTCTCAGGTCATTCCTCTGGGAACTTTCCTTGCTCAGACTATGGAACTGTCCCAAACATCTCAGCCCCTAAAGAATCTCTGAGTGCAACTACCACTTCTCCAACAATTAAGTCTGTTCCCAAGACCAAACCAAAGTCGGAACCTAAATCTTCCAGTTCAGTAAAGTCCACCCCAGTACCAAACCCTCCTTCGGTATTGGAACTCTCCAAATCAAAAAAACGAAGAAGTCTTCCACTGATTCTTGTCATTCCAGACACAGGCTGATACCAGACTTGACATCACTACAGGACCAGCCTACGGTCTGCCTTGATTCTCCAGAAGAGACCTTTCTTCCTCCTGTTCAACCACTATCTCCACAAGTGGCACCGTCTCCATCTTCTGTGCTCACTTTGGATGACGTTACCATCCTTCCTTGATTGGCACAGTCGAGCCCCAAATCCACGAGTTGCTCCGTCTCTATTGCGATTTCGTGTTGGTGTATCCTGTACCCAACATCACCTCTGCACAAGCGGTTAAAAATGACCATGTACCAGAGACGTGCCATTCCGATGCCAAGCCTCTACGACCCATGACTCCAACTGGGTCTCTGGCATCTTGAGAGTCTCCTACTCAATACCACTGCCTGAAACGGGTCACGCTCTATGAGTCTCCACAGTATTACGAACCTCTTCTTAAACGCTCTTGATCTCGAGCATATCAGTATTACCAACCCGAGTTCGACTTCTATACCAACCCTAAGCGTTCTCGATGTTGATACTACTACCAATCTAACTTCTCTGATTCTTCTCCTTCCTCTCGGTACCGATCACAGCATTGTGGTTACTACTACCATTCTAATTTGTTGGGTGATGACTCCATACCGATCCCTCCGGTACCGAAGTCCCACAAATCTCACAAGAGGACCCATCCTGAACCTCTCCCAAGAACAACCCATGGTCCGAAAACGGTCCTAGACTTCAGCTCTGAGAGTACCACGTGTCACAGAATCTGCTGCTCCTTCTCAACCTCGAGCTCCCACAGTACAAGTGACCACCACATATGCTGGACCTCCGCCTCCACTTCCTGGTACCACTCAATCTTGCCATAAGAAACTTTCAAAACATCAATCTGTTTCCGTACCAGCCCAGCACACTCCTAAATCTCAGCCTGCTCTTCCGGAACCCCCACTATTTCCATCCCACAATACCGTTTCACCTCTCCAACTTTGTCTTCTCAGTCATACTATTCTGATGCCTCTGACTCTTTAACAACACAAGAATCCCCTCCTAATTTACCGTATTTGCCGGCGTATAAGACGACCCCAACATTTCCACTCAAAATATAGCATTCTTTATATACTCGCCATATAAGACTACCCCTCCCTCTGCCTTTTACCCCACCAGAGGGGCCAAAGAGGGAGCAGAAAGCAAGTTTCTGGGGTGGTCTACCAGCTGGCCCGAGGCAGAGGCCGGCGCCTGCTCGCTCGGGAGCCTGGCGCAGCAGCAGCGCTGGCTTGTCACAGGCGCCGTTTTCTTGCCAGCTTCTCTCCACCCGGGCAACATGGTGGTAGGTCACGGGGAAGAAGGAGGCGGCGGAAAGCAAGTTTCCAGCTGGCCCAAGGCAGAGGCCAGCGCCTGCTCGCTCGCCCGGCGTCCGGAAGTCTCTTCGAGAGCCCGGCGCAGCGGTGTCGCTGGTAACAAGCAGGGAGGTGCTGGCTTGTCACAGGCACTGTTTGCTTGCCAGCGCCCGGGTAACATGGTGGTAGGTCACGGGGAAGAAGGAGGCGGCGCTGCTGCTGCTTTCCACGTGGGCAACAGTGCGAGGAAGTGACTGAGCTGGTGGGGACCGAGCTCCGCCCGCTTCCCAGGCTGGGCTCGCCTCTCCATGCTGCTTCCTGCTGGGCCATGCAGCGCCTGAGAGCCGGAGCCGCCCCCTGCCTCGGGAGAAGAGGCGCCGCCTCCTCTTCTTCCTCTTCCTCGTTCACCTCTCCTCTTTCCTCTTTGCACTATGTGCTGCCCTCTCTGGGTGTACCCGGCGTATAAGACGACCCCCCTCCACTTGGAGGCATGTTTTTCAGGGCAAAAAAGTCATGTTATACGCCAGCAAATACGGTACCTACACCAGACTCAGATGTCGTTCAAGCCAGTCCTCCTTCACCATCTGATGACTTCTCCTATTCTCAATTAGTTCTTCGAATTGCAAAAGCTATGGAACTAGATGTTCAGCAACCTGCTCATCCTTAATCAGATAAAGTGTATGAGGACATCAGTGAGGAAGAGACTCCAGCTCTAAGTATGAGTTTTATCCCTTTCTTATTAAAGCTCACAAAACAAGCCTGGTCTAAGCCCTTCTCTGTTTCTCAAATTTATTTATTTATTTATTTATTTCATTTATACCCCGCCTATCTAGTCAGTTGTGACCACTCTAGGCCGAGAATCTATACAAGACATGGAGAC